AGGAATCGTAATCCTTTTCATTTTCCGTACGCAACCAAGTAAGTCGTTACTACTCCTTTGTCTTAAACTTATATATTATGTGAACAATAATTAACTATTACATATTTTTAGATGGTCTGCCTATGGGATGGATTACGAAAAGACTCCTCATCATTGTGCACCTGGCTATCGGACTTTCATCGATCATTTTGAAGAATCTGATGTAATATTCTTAACCATATTTTAAGTATTACATATTTTATATGGTTCGTTAAACTAATAACTGATTTTTTTAACAGTTTACATGGAGGCCCTATCTGGGACTTGATGATACCGATCCGACCGATAGTCACGTGTGGAGTGCAAAAACATTTATCATATGTTTTACTACTGTTGAAATGCACCATTCTGATCGGGTAAAACTTCAATTTGGCATTAAGCAAGGCATACCGGATGCTCCACAGTGCATGGAGGAGTATCACAAAAGTGTGGTGAACGATCAATGGGCATATAGCAATTGGAAAGATTGTTACAAGCAGGAGCGTCGTCAATGGCATAACCGCGAAAATAAAGTCTTACAAGGAGATGTCATGTCAGAAGAATGTAAGCCAAGTAAGGAATACATGCAATGGTATAAGTCTGTTACAAATTTGTATCTGTCACCAAACAACTTTTTGTATGACCCTCGTAATTTCCCAACATCTTCAAACGTCCAACACACCCAACCATCATCAAGCACTTACACCCAACACAACCAAGAACCTCTCTTCCCAACACAACCATCTTTTACGCAACAACCATTCTTCCCAACACAACCACCATTTACCCCAAGCCAACAATACCATCAACAAAACCCTTCTTCTAACCCAACCCAATGGGGCACCCAACAACAAAACCCTTCATCTAACACCACCCATTGGGGCACCCACCAACAATATCCTTCATCTAACCCCACCCAATGGGGCACCCACCAACAATATCCAACCTCTAACCCCACCCAATGGGGCACCCAACAACAATATCCTTCCTCTAACCCCACCCAATGGGGCACCCAACAAACCCCACAAAATCCCAACTATCAAACACCCCAACAACAAATGCCTATTCCCCGACCACAACAATTTACCTCCCAAGATTGTTACCAACCCTCAATAAATAGCCCAATGTCTTCTAATCCCATACCAAATTGGAATTGGGAGGGAACCAGATTAAGTTATGGCAGTGCAGCCGAGACAGACTTTACCAATGAGGACATGATTGAGGAATTTTTAATGGGCGGCTGTGACGCGGGACCTTCAACTTCAACTCAACCACAAAATGAAGAAGGAAATCGCAGAACATGCCAACGTACTAGACGAGCACCTGCTTGTGGAACTCACCAACGATTGACACGACCCGGTCAAAATCGACAGTAGATGTGATGGGGAGATTATATATGTTAAAATGCAAAAAATTAATTTATGTCCTTTAGTTAAATTATTGTTTATTTATAGTATATTTTGTTTAATTAAAGTGTATTTTATTTAATTTATAATGTATATTATTTAATTATATTAATTTAATTTATAATGTATATTATTTAATTATATGAATTAAATTTATAATGTATATTAATTAATTATATTAATTTAATTTATAATGTATATTATTTAATTATATTAATTTAATTTATAATGTATATTATTTAATTATATGAATTTAATTTAAAATGTATATTATTTAATTATATGAATTAAATTTATAATGTATATTATTTAATTATATTAATTTAATTTAAAATGTATATTAATTAATTATATTAATTTAATTTATAATGTATATTATTTAATTATATGAATTTTATTTATAATGTATATTATTTAATTATATGAATTTAATTTATGATGTATATTATTTAATTATATGAATTAAATTTATGATGTATATTCTTTAATTATATTAATTTAATTTAAAATGTATATTATTTAATTATATGAATTTAATTTATAATGTATATTATTTAATTATATGAATTTTATTTAAAATGTATATTATTTAATTATATGAATTTAATTTATGATGTATATTATTTAATTATATGAATTAAATTTATGATGTATATTATTTAATTATATGAATTAAATTTATAATGTATATTATTTAATTATATTAATTTAATTTATAATATTTATTATTTAATTATATGAATTTAATTTAAATGTATATTATTTAATTATAATGTCATATGAATTTAATTTACAGAATTAAAAAAAAAAACGTTTTGGACTCATCCGCCCATCTAATGGGCGGAGCCTCTCTTTTTTTATAAGCATCCGCCCAATGCATGTGCGGTGCCCTAGGAATATACACTCTTCCGCCCATTGCATTGGCGGATCAGTTATGACAAAAACGTGTTTTGTTTGAAAAGAGAGTATATTGGGAAATATGAAAGTGTGAGAGGGTATATTGGGATTTAAATGCTAAAAAGAGGGTATGTTGATAAAAAATTCTAAGTAAGCACCACTAAAGATGCAAAGAGTAATGTCCAAGGAGATTCTCCAATCAAATATTCTCTTGTAATGCATAGTCAAAATAGAGTCAATATCCTTAACCCTCCAAGGTTTCTTTTCTCTCTCACTATCTGTCATTCCTACCTACATCTGATTTTGCTTTTTTTCTTTTGTTTTTCACTTTCCTAAAAAGAGCGTTTACAATGACAACAAGACACATAAAAAAGCAAAGCATTTACACACAAAATCGCCTCTTCAACCACACTTTTCCTCTTCTCCTACGAAATGTCCTTCTATAGATCACAAAAAACGCCTGAACATAAAAACTAAAAAAAAGACCAAATTTTTATGCATCAGAACACTAAAATCCAAACTGGGTTTTGCTTTTTCACATTCACCTTTCAAAAGGGTTGTCGAAAATCACATAGATTTCGAGAATGGCTCAGTGGCAAGATGGTTTCGATCGTGAGGGTATTGACTATATGTTCAAGGTTGTCATGATTGGTGACTCTGGTGTTGGAAAATCTCAGCTTCTGAATCGGTTTGTTAGAAATGATTTTCATATGAAATCTAAAGCAACTATTGGTGTTGAGTTTCTCACAAAGACTGTTCTCATGGATCACAAACTTGTCAAGGCTCAGATTTGGGATACCGCTGGTCAAGAAAGGTCCAATTTTTTCTTCTGCCCTATTTATTTTAATTATCAAATGTGAATTATTTTATTGGATTTTTCTTGTGTTTGCTAAAAAATGTTCTGTTTTTATCTTAGAATTTCAGATCTGATCTCTTAGGCGCCAGTATAGTTTTTTATTTATTTATGTATTCAGCCCAAAATATGAAGCACTGACACACCGATAATGTCACGTTGTACTGATAATAATTTGAAAAAATGAATAAATTAAATACCAACACTGACATATATGTTTTTCCACAGGTGTTGGTACATTATTATATTGTCAATGTTTGCGAGTTGAATGTTTCTTGGTTTTCTGTTGTTACTTTATGCTGAATTCGGATTCGAAATTGTTAAAAATCCCACGAATTTGGGGAGTTAGGAGCTAGGAGTCATTGGATTAAAATTTGATGGCTCCGTTTTCGAGTGAATTTGTTTGTTAACCTAATTTACCAAGCTTATAATTTGAACAGCCTTATAAGCAAACTCGAAATCTGAGTCATTTGATCTTGATCCAACAATTTCAAACGGCCGACTCTACGAGTGTGTTGAATAATTTATAAGATAGCTAAGATCTTATAAGTTAAGATCTGATCCTTTAACCAGCATTGTTTTTTAATATAATAGAATGAAAATGTTTGGAAGTTGATGACGTTTTGGTTGTCTGTTCTTTACTTTATGTTAACTCGGAGTCCTAGCTGTCAAGGATCAAAATCAGAAGCATCTGATCTTGATCCAACTTTGATCAGATGACTCCGTGAATGTGTTTAATATAGCCGAGTCCAAAATCATTTATGTTCCATTCAAGGAGTTAGCAGCTCATAACAATTATATGAATCTGATGGCTCTGATTTCGAGTTTTCTTGTTAAGCTGATTTACTGGGCTTAAAATTTGAACAACCTTATAATCAAACTCAAAATCAGAAGCATCTTATCTTGATCTAACTTTGAAGTATCTATGCTAGAAAATTACATTTTCATGTGACAATGTTGGCATTCATGACAGGTATCAAGCAATTACAACTGCATATTACAGAGGTGCAACCGGTGCATTGCTAGCGTATGACATAACCAACCGTCATTCCTTTAACCATATTGAAAAGTGGCTAGATGAACTGCATCATCATGCAGATAAAAACATTGTTGTCATGCTTGTTGGCAACAAATCTGATCTGAGTTCTATTCGACAAGTGTCTATTGAGGAAGCAGAAGACTTAGCAAAGCAGAAAGGTCTCTTCTTCATCGAGACATCGGCTCTCGACTCAAACAATGTTGAACCAGCTTTCCTTGGTCTTCTTTCGCAAATATATACAAAAGTCGGTAAGAAACACATCACTGCTAATGGACATGAACCAAATTGGGATAAAGTAAATATTGAATTTGAGGGCACGAAATTATTGGTCTCGCCGCAAGAACCAGAATGTCAAAAATCTAAAAGGAAATTCAATTGTTGCAGCATTTTGTAGAATACGTTTTCACCTTAAGCTACCTTTAGGTATTGATTATCTGTACAATATACTCTGCCATCCTTTCTTCCCTACAATTTTTTTATTCATTTTTAAACTGAGAGTTTTGTTGTTCTGCATAATTTTTCTTCCTATGAAGTTACTTTGTTATTTTGATTGACATTGATATGAAATCAAATAAAGTTCAAGAATGTGTGATGAATATAAGCTTTTATTCGATGTCAAGGCCGTCTTTGAGGGCGTGAAAGGCACAAGGCCTAAAACTTGTCACGGTTAAATCGTGCTTAAATAAAGTTTCTATTTATTTTGACACGAATAAATTGCGCTTGATCTACACAGGGCCTCCAAAAACATGAGGCTACTCTGCACAATGTCTAACTCCTCCTTCCCTATCTAACAAAACCTAATTATGTAATCTGCTCCATAGCAAGTAAAAGTGCTGGTAGCATCATCATATGCATAACTATAAGCCATAGGACACGAAGCTTTAAACACCTTTGAGTAGCTACTTGGCCCGCACATTCTCGGACTATTGAAGACACCGTTACAACAAAATTCCGGCTTGTGAAAAGCCATACAAGCGCTCTTACAACCAACAACGCGGCCTTTAATGTTTCTCAACTCCAATCCAGCAGGACAGTTTCTGTTCAAATCTGAAATACATTTAACTGCTTTACACATTCCAGATCCTCCTAAGGGAAAGATTGAGATTGGCATGTTGTAACCATCAACAAGGCTAATATCGTAAAAATCTCCGACTGGACTGTTGAGTGTAAACTCTGCCAGTGAAGCCGGTGGTTCGCCTCCGGCTCCAGCACATCTAAGTCTGCCTCCGCAGTCTCCCGTGATGCATTTTCCGATACCAAAGCTGTTGAATGTGCATCCACGCCGGCCCCAAAAACGGCCGGACCAACCTCTCGGTGCAGTAACGTTTATAGCTTGGCCTGGTTTTAGCTTAACTCCTCCGTGAATGAGTTGAGGTTTTCCTGGTGCTGTTAGAATCCCTGGCCACATTGTGTTCCTACATTTATTTTGCAGAGTGAAAATAGTTGCATCCACTCCTAATGAGTAGAAGAGCATGAAAATAAGGGACAAGTGCTTCAATGCCATAAGAGATAGTTTTAGTTTGTAGTGTGTGATTTGAGAAATCTAGTTTTTGTCGATGACTATGAAATGCATGAAATTGGTGAGATATTTATAAGGGAAATTATGAGAAATCTAAAATTTTCACGGCTTTATCTTTTAGAAAAGACGTCTCTTTGAATTTAGGTGTATGGTGTTGTATATAAATTACTTTTAAGCTCGACTATCAAGTAAGGTGAAACTATTTTGACTAACCCAAAACAATTTCCCCTTGATGCATACGGACTCGGTATTTGAGTTTTGAGACGCGGAAAGGTAGATCGTCGTATGTGAAGAAACTAAAAAGAAATAATTATATAAAAAAAAATATTTTATATTAAATTATGAATTTCTTAATTTTTAATAACTGAAGTTTAGTAACTGTATTTTTTTACATATTTGATTTTATTATTATAGTCTATGATTAAAATATGAAAAAATACATGATTAGTTATTTAAAATATCTAGGGAATTATTTAAAATAATTTTGTCTATCTAAAAGTTTCTCTCTTATGATTGTTTAATAATAAGCTTCCGATTAAAGATAATTTAGTCCAACGTGGAATTTGATCATAACTCCCTGTTAATGTTCAAAGGATATGTTTCAAAAGAAAACTCCAATCTGTTTTTCTTTGATTGTTGAAGAAAATGGTAGCTTAAATAAGGGGGTATTTATAGTTCATGAACGACACTAAACTAAATCACAATAATATTTTAGTTTAATTTTTAATAATCACTTCAATAAAAAAACAAATGATCGTTAAAGCAATTTTAATTCAATTTAAAATCAATTTATATAAATTGATTTATAATCAGTTTGCATTTATAAACTAGTTTTAATATTTTGAACTCTTTTACAACTAAATTTTTTCAACTATTTTTTGTATTCATAAATAAAATATATTGTGAAATTAATAGAATAATTAAAACAATTTTAGGAGAATTATTTCGAGCTTAATCACTCTAAGAAATTTAATATATAGGATAAAGAATAATAACAATTAGATAAATGGTCTCAAACAATAAAAATAATAATATACAAGAATACAAAAATTTGTTTGCTTAGTTCAATCAAACTTATCTACGTCTAAGGGAGAGAGTAGCTTTTTAATGCACTATACTTCAAAAGTAGTTACAATAGATTGCAATATGAATGTTAAGAAAATATTCTTTGGAGTTTACAAGAACAAACTATATTTTTTATCCAAGTGTTTCTCAATCTCTCCAACTCTCAATACAAGAATTACACAAACTCAAGATAACTCCAAAAGGATGTCAAATCTCTAAAATATAACTCTAAGAAATTTTACCATTTTATTTTCACTAGGATTTCTAACTTATACAACTTCTACAAATTGTCTCACAACAAATTAGAGAAACTCATATTTATAACTACAAAAATATTAAGAGGCCCAAACCCAAAAATATATCAATACCAAAATATTTTTTCTCATTTGAGCTTTTACGGCATATTACAACCTTGGTGTTTTCTCTAAAGTTTGAATCACTCTTCAACAAATTTGATCAAGAGTCCAATCATAAACCTTAATCTTGACAATGATTTGGTGAATATATTTTTTTGGATTCTTTTTTGAGGGCACTTTCTGAATCTGGATCTCCTTTGACTTTATCATGTCCCTTATAAAGTGTAAACCAATGTCAATGTGTTTAGTTCTCTGATGATGATTGGCTAAGTGAATGACACTTTGACTATCATAATTTATCTTCGCACGTTCTTGAGTAATCTCAAACTCCCCAATCATATGTTTCATCCATATAACTTCCTTGACCCATTCAACAAAGGCAATATATTATGCTTGAGTAGTAGATAACATGACCACTGATTGTTGATTTTCCTTCCATCGTATAATTGTCTCAAATAATGTAAACACAAAACCTTATAGGGTTTTTCTAGTGTTCACATCACATGCATAATTTGAATCTACAAAATCCACTAAAGTGTCTTCCTTTTGAGTTGACCTTATGTACTTTAAACTACCCTTCATCACCCACTTTAAAGCTTCTCAATTAACCTAACCAAAATTTTCCATAAATCGACTTACTATGTTGACTGCATATGTTAATTTCGATCTACTATAAACCATATCATATATAACGCTTCCAACCCACTTGCATATGAAGTAATTTCCATTTTCTTCTTCTCTTCCTTATTTTGGGGACATTGTTTATTCGAAAGCTTCATATGATTACCCATAGGAGTGTTGACATTTTTAGCATCTTGCATTCTAAATTGCTCTACCCCTTTCTTCAAGTAAATAGATTGAGATAAAAACAAATTCACTATTATTTTGACTTCTCATGATATCCATACTCATGAATCTTTTAGCTTTACCAAGATCTTTCATCTCAAACTCATCATTCAAGATCTCCTTGAGCTTAACGATCTTATTTTTACTAGAGTTTTCCATCAAAATATCATCAACATATAGAAGGGGTAGATAATGACTTTCTCATTCATCTTCAATATGTATACACAACTGTCATAATTACTCCTTACAAAACCATGTTCAAGAATAAATTCATCAAACCGACAATACCACTATCTTGGGCTTTATTTCAACATATACAAAGCTTTATTCAACAAGCATACATTAGCCTTATCTTCTACAAAATCGACAAGTTATTTCATGTAGATTGTTCTTCAAGTTCTCCATGTAAGAAAGTGGATTTGACGTCCATATGTTCCAACTCAATATTATATTGACTTAAAATTACCATAAGTACCCTTATAGAATAATATTTTACCACATGTGAAAAAAATTTCATTGTAATCAATCCCTTCCACCTAAGTAAAACCCTTCGCTAAAAGTCTTTCCTTAATATTTGGTTCTTCAAATCTTAGAACACCTTCCTTCTTTTGGAAGATCCACTTGCATCCAACTATCCTTTGTTTCTTAGGTAGACTCACAAGCTTCCAAGTATGATTCTTCATCAATGAATTCAAATCATGATTTACATCCATTAACAATCTTTGACTATATTTGCTTTTGATTGCTTCTCTAAATGTCTTTGAATTCAAGTCTTGCATCCCTTCAACCACATTCAAATCATAACAAATAAGATCAGCATAGTCGTACCTTTGAGGTTGTACAATCTCCTTTTTAACCCTATCACACGCTAACTGATAATTAGGAGACATTGTATGTTATCCTTCTATAGTATTGGAAACATGAGTCTCAATTACCTCTTTGTCTCTAGTCTCACTAGTAGGAACATCCACCTTAAACTGAGCCTTTTCCACCATATTTTTAGATTATTTAAACTCTGGATCTCTACCCTACATTCTCATACGGGTCTCATCAAAATGTATATCCCTGACTTTGATAAATTTCGATCCTCCAAGATCCATATTCCAAAGTTTGTAACCATTCACCCCTTTAGGATAGCCAATGATGACACACTTCACAACCTTAGTATCAAGTTTATCTTGTTTGATATGAGAAAACACTAAAGCTATAAAATGTTAGACGATGGCGACTTGTCTAGAGGGGATGAATAGATTACTAAGATAAAAATACCAATCAAAAGTTGGTAGTTAAAAATTTATTTTAAAAGAGTGAAAGTGGAAGGTTTTAATGTAGAACGATAAAATCTTCTATACGAACCTAGTTATTGGAATTCGGATATGCAAAAAGCCTTATGGAATAAGTGAGTTGATTAGAGGAATTAACACACTTAAAACAATCAATACTTTATTATTCATTCAACACAATTAACTAGCAACCTATTTCTAATGTAATTAAACAAAAATATGGAATAATGCAATTTATCAAACACTTAGTGTGCGATAAAATTTTTAGAATTTTCCTTTGAGTTTTGTTGATATGAAAAAGCATGTATAATCAAAGTGATTATAAGCTAATTAACAAACTAATTTAACAAAAACAATCATAGAAAAATTCTTACGAGTCGATTAATTAAACAATGAAATTCAACAAATTACGTAATGAAATATAAAAGCGAGTAAAGAGATAAGAGAGAGAGACACAAGGATTTGTTTAGGAAGTTCACCAATACGTCCTCGATATGGCTACGTCTGCCCCCGTTTTCAATTGAAATTGAGAATTCAATTCTTACTTTGAAAAAAAAAGTATTACAAGAGAAGTGTTACAAGAGCAACCACACAACCCCTAACCGTTTGTTATTGATTCAACCCATTTTCTTCCTTTGATCTTGAGCAAGACTAATATACAATAGCTACCAATTGATTTATCGAATCTTGCTACTCCTTTGGGTTACCCTAACTCCAAATCTATTTCACGCACGATCAATTGTAACTATTGAACACAAGCACTTCCAATTTGATTCGTCGTTCTCTCGCTACTCCTTTGGGTTACCCTAACTCCAAAGCTTTCACTATGCTGTAATCCTCTTTTGAAAGTCTTGTACAAAAGCTCCAAATCTACCAAAGATCTTGGAGGACAAACCCGAAGTTTTTCCAGATGAAATACCCATAATTCTCAACCCAATATTCTTGGTTACGCAAAACCTAATTGGACGTTATCAAACCTCTCCTAGATGGTGTTGTAACCGGTTTTAAAATTGAGAGTCGCCACCCTAATTTTTTATCTTTGATAAGGGAATGTAAAGGATAACCCTAATTTAGTCAGAGATTCTAGGTTGTTGGACTCGTTCTTAGACGAAGGGAAGGTGTTAGGCACCCCTCATCTATCTTGTTCACAAGGATACTAGGGTTTAGAAACGCAATCTTTAAGAAATAGGCTTTTAGTTTTTATTAGGGGAACTCACCACGATTTTAGTCGCATGCCTACGTATCCTCTTATGAGGAATCAGAGTCCCAATCCGTAGTTCGTAGTTCGTAGTTGGTTGGTGTTTTTTTATAAGATTACGTAGAATTGCTTTCGAATTTATCCTTGAACCTTGTCTGGATTTTGTAAAAGAGTGATTGTAGACGTAGTTCGCAGTTAATTTTGAAA